AACGCCAAGGTGGTAACAATAATTAAAACGTTAAGAGAAAATATGTGGTGTAACGGTAATCTAAAAAATGTATAAGATCGTAATATAAAATAAAATTTTATGTGATTTTTTTCGGTGCCTCAAATGCCATCCGGCATCTTTGCCAACAGACATCACATTTCGGTCGGCGCGGCGGTGACATTTAATGGCATTGCAGCGGTAGCGTCCGTTAACAGTTTTATTAGGGGACTACTTTTGTGTGTTGCTGTTACCGCTGAGCTATTAATTATTCAAATAGCAACAACTTACAACGACGACGGCGATAACAATAAACAGTTGGACAAAACTTTTCTGTCATCTTTGTGGATGTTTTGACAAACACGAGGTTTTTTACTGGCAAAATAAATTACTCAAAACGATCCAAAATAAACCCATGTCCCATTTCCGCCCCTGCACGCACAAACATCTGTTTTGTACACCGTCAATGGTGTGATAGACCATCCCTGTCCAGGTGCAGTAGCTCGCGCCGTCCGACGTAACGCGGTTACCCCGGTGTGTTTTTAATAGTGGATAGGAGGTATGCCCTCCGTTGAATCTCATTCCCAAGTTCATTGAATGCCATTTAAAATGTTGTTATACGCGTAACTGTTATTGCTATGACGCAATAATAAGCGCACTCGAGAATACTGTAAAAAAACCCAATTCCAAATTAGTAAACAAAATTAAAGAAACTTTTGAGCTTCCGGGCTTATTTAATGCCTACAAGAATAATTTTTCCCATAAAAGTTGCATTTATTTAGTCCGAGAACATTTTATGATGGTTATTTTATTTGTTCTTAAGCAATAACTGATAAGTTATGACTTTATTTACCAATTATTAAATGAGATAGAGCATTGTTATCGATTTAAGCGTGAGCCATTTAATCAATCTTCCTAAAACTATTATTACATTGTAATAATAACTTGTCGGAGGTTTTAATCAGATATCATACAACTGGTAAATCAATTATTAATTCTAAACCTGCTCTTGAATAGTTAATGAATACATAGTATTTTTATTACGATAACCAAGACCATTAATTATAGGTTAATTAATTAATGATCATAATTTATGTTAATACATTCTTGTCGACTGATCATTTCGACGCGTGATGATTTTATAAAGACGCCTAATAATTACAAGCTATAAATAAATTCATTTTACTATTTCAGAACACTAATAATATACCTTTTATTATGACGTTGATAAATGTACATAAACTATTTCATGTGTAAAATATAGATTTGTATTTATATATAATATGATTATACATTTGTGGTCTGTTCTGTACAGCATTCCTAGTAATTTTTCAATAATTCATTAAAATTACTGAAACTACATCAAACATCGACTATAAGTTAAATCAGTAGTTATTTACTAATTTGACTTATAAAATTCGATCGATGTCACAAAATACGCTGCAAAATTATTTTATAACATGTGATCTAACATCGTCTTAAAATGAGCAACCCACTTAAGGCCTAAAATATTAACAGCTGACATTCATCTACGTACATAAAAGCGTATGTTTTATTCATAAATAAACGTTTAAACGTGTATTCCCTAAACACGCCAGAATTGTGTAATTAATAAATCAGGTTGTTGGAACAGAATGCGCATAATCCCGGCGGGGACCAAGTGAAGTAAGCAAAAAAAAAAAAAAAAAAAAGGAAAAGATTAACGCAGTTCTCAGTGTGTACGGTGTATTTCATGTACGATCGAGTACATGATAAACAGTCGGTGTAGCGATAGTGGTGTCCGTTTAAGTGCAAAAACACACACACGCCGGCAGGGGATAAAATCCTGTTTGCAAATTAGCAAATCCATTTTTGTAAACCACATACATAACAACAGCGGCAGTCTGAAACGCGTCACACAGACAATGTGACCGAAATTTATAAATCTGGTGGATTTATTAAATGCATTACGAGAAAATCCGATTTGTACGCGACAATACTTTATTGTGTCGAGCAAATCGAGTTCGGATAAATCAATTTTAATATTTTATATTTTTGCCACTTGGCTCCCTTAGATTCTTATCGGTTTGTATGCGTTTTAAATTGGCTGTGCCGATCTATGAGATTACGCTTATAAACACTATTACATCAACAATAACTTCCTTTGGAAAAATGACTTTTATTGGAAATATTTTAGACAACGCGTTTGTTCAGGATGAATTTTTATGTAAACGCTCAATTTTCTCTAAATAAGATGTGAAATGAAAATTTTATTAATAGCTCAGAGAGTTTTCACGTTTTATTAATTTCGTGCGATTATTGGATAAAATAATATTTCATAATAATAGCAGTCATAAATATCTTAACTGCCGTTAAATTGATTGAACATGACAGATGCAATACTAATTGATACGGAGGAGTTAATTCTTCCGGGTTTTTTTTTTTTTGGTGCCCATAGAGCAATACATCAGACATCTTAAATAATGTTTTATTGTCACTTTATTGTTAGGCACAGTTGACGTTTCATAGTGATGTCTTCTTCAGTGTTAATGGATGAACTTTGTTTCACTAAAAGTAATTGTGTTATTTATAACTAGAATCTAGATTAGGCTCAAAACTACTTTAATACGTATTGTGATCGCCCTGAGCTACACATACTATCGACCCTGGTAATTATATCAAATGTATTGTATACCCACATGTGTATTTATATACCTGACATACTGACGAGTAAGAATTTTGAGATGAACCCAAACAATTATCATCCTCCTCCACCTTAGCACATAACATGTGATGGTGTTGTTGTATACTTCTAGTTCTAATTTTTAAACCAATAAGGATAACATGATATTACGTTAAAGGAAAATTCTATTGTATCTTTAAAAGACCTTAGTCATGTAGTGTACTTGGGGTATAAATATTTTTTGAAAAATCGATTGAATTATAAGAATGCAAAATACATTAGTGTTCAATATATCAAATAATGACTATATACACACGAATGTAGTATAATTACAGATGTGTCGTCAATAATAATTATTTTGGTTGTTTTTTCAGATTAATAATGTCACTTTAAGCATTTGAAGAAATTACTTAAAGAATTAAGCCGCAAAATCCTTTAAGAGCTTAAAACAAAAGTATTTTTAAGCAGTTCCATTGTTTATCGGTTTTTGACATCTTAGACAATCAAAATTACATTATTAATCTGTTAGAACCTACAAATAAGAACCGACATCGCATAATTGACATTAAAATCCCAGTGGAAATAGTTTAGTGTCACAGACACATGAATGAGAGTACCAAATATTGTTACACGTCATAAATATGAACAGATTACAATTACTTTTTAACGCCATGGCGTTTTATTTTTTCGATACAAAACGTTTGCAAAACAGAAAAGTGTTGTTGGACGTTTGGTAACTTGCCAAGTGCCCCGAGAGTTACACTGCTGCATGTAATATTTTTTAACCGTGTTACGTTTAAATAAAACAAAACGAAAAGTCTTTAGATACTGAACACATTTTTGGCTGGCATTTATGCACTAAAACTAGTACATGCAGTCGCGGTGCGGGGAAGCGAAAAACCTTAGGTAAGTGACAAATCGAAGAGTCCACGCACGTGCACACATCGTCAATAACAAACTTCTCTGTTATTTCTCGCCTAGACGACCGGTTCACACTGGGAAACGCCACTTAAATTGATTCATAAATAAAGAGGTTCCAAAACGAGGTAGTACAAAACACCCTGGGCCAGATGCGGACAGTGTTTAATTTGTTGTATACCATAAAATAGAGACTAAGACGGAAGAAAAAAAATAACACTATAAAAAAGAAAGATTTTAATCTGGTGTCTGTCTGCCGTACAACAACTAGCCGTTCTANTTAATTTGTTGTATACCATAAAATAGAGACGAAGACGGAAGAAAAAAAATAACACTATAAAAAAGAAAGATTTTAATCTGGTGTCTGTCTGCCGTACAACAACTAGCCGTTCTACGCCAGTATCTCCGAGGGTTTTGCCGGCAAGCCTATAGGGGTCAATGACAAAAAAAAAAAAGAATAGAAAGAGAGAAACGGACACAACAATTCATCCATTGTTAGATCTTAACGATTGTCGATTGCACGAGACTGGACGGTTCGATTACATTCAAAACGTGTGTAGATCAAAAACTAGCCAAATCGAAATCTCGACGGAATCGCGAGGTCAACGATTAAAAAATAAAATCGTGTACTCTCGGTATCGTGTATTCTTCCAAGCCCGCCAGGGCTACACGAACTAAGAGTATTCAATGAGTTTAAGATAAGTCGGAATCATACAGTGATAAAATTATTGAAATGTGAATCACTACACCAGTCCGTACTAATATTATTTAAGCTGATAGGTAATTGTTTTAACTGCACTTCAACTTTAAACTGAAACTGTTGCAACTAATAAATTGATAACGCATTGGTTCATTTTGTTTATGATTATCTAATCAAAACATTCAATGATAACTTTTTATAACTATTAATTAATTCAATTATTGCATTTCAAATATATATTTCAAAATAAAATCCACGTACAAAATCAACAAATCAATATTTTGACAACTGTCTTTTATCAATGAATGCGCTTCATAAGAAATCGAGAAACGCATGAAATAACATATAATTTATGATAAATGTTTCAAAAATACTAACCACAACAGTTGTTTTGTTACATATTTAACACGTTGGCGTCTATTCATTCCTACCTACGCAATAAAACTAATCCCAAGCGACTAGATTAACTTTGTCTACTTGTGAGGTCACTAGGCGCATATGGCATCTTTTGAATATTTTATACTTCAAAGTTAAGGTGTCCGAAAATATCTATTTAAATTAATGAACAACACACGAACACATCGATAATTAGCAAAATAACTGTAATAAATGTTTAATAAGCCACCAGATAATTTAAGATCAAAAAAATGTGTAAGTGATAAAATTATATTGTTACTATCAGTCTTTTAAAAGTAAAATGTTAGTTATGTTTTTTTTACTCACGTTTGCATTCGTTGGGATCTCTAACCGTTGCTCTTGCCCAAGGTCTATCAAAATGGAATGGTTTGCATCGGTCACAGTCGCGTCCAGAAGTATTGTGCTTACAGTCACATACCAGAGTTCCTCCCTGGCCAGATGGTATACATTTAGACGCGTGGCCATTGCATTTACAACGGCCGCCTACCGATAAGTCCGATACGGCATAATGGTACGTACGGCCAGCTGCGGCAGATATCGTTGTCACAATCGGAGCTATGGTCGTTTTTTCGGGTTCTTGTCCTTGCAGTTCTTGGTCCGGGTTTAACATAAGCATATCAGCACTAGTTTTATTGCCATTTAAAACGGTCTCGTCAGAATCCAACTTTGAATCGACTGTGTTGGTAGTGGTAGTAGTAGTCGTAGTAGTTGAGGTCATAAGCGGGTCCGTGGGAAAATGCAAACGATTGAATATGATTTTCACATCGGTGGCGGTCACCCAATCTTGAAGAACGGGACTGTTATCAAAATCGATGGCACTCGGGCGGCCTTCCAAAGTACTGAACGCGACACGTGATGCTGATGATCCGGCACCGTTAAACCTGTGCGAGTCTGTGCATAAAGCTTCTTGTTCGTTAGATTTGGTGATGGTTGCTCGGTTCGGTCTTCCGTATACTTTGCGACATTGCCCGGAGTAGAATTGGAATGGTTGCCACGTCTTACCATAATCCATACTTTTATAAATCGCAATTGAATCGGGTTTTGCGACTTTTGGACAAAATTGTAAATTAATGTAAGTGAGTTCGTATTTTTTCCCAAGCGATAACGTAAGGGTGACATTGTCGGGAGGCGGCAAAGAGGATGCCGGGTCAACTGGCTGAGGTACTAAGGTTTCGGATCTCCAACAGGTCGCATTGTGCGGTATGTTAGGGTCGGTCAAGTAAGCGGTAGGATGACGACGTTTGGGCTGGCTGTCATCACATACATGACACACGCCTTGCGACGTGGGCCCCAATTCACAATATCGTTCCGGGCCACGGACTCCGCAAGTACTTGTCGCTTCCACGTGTCCACCATACGCGGCGTTCACAAAATCCGGTACGCATCGACGGGCTCGATCTCCATCGTAACAAGGATCTGCAGAGTCAGAGACGCTGGAGACGACGGTCGGTGTAAAGTCGACAGCTGCATAAACGCACAAAACAATAATCGGTAAACTTTTTAATGACATATTATAATTTTTAAACCGCCAATTCAACAAAAAAACAGATAGCTGAACAAACCCATTTGACCGATGGCGGTAAACAATACACTCGTATAATTAAATTGTGCGGTTGGCTACCGACCAAATTGACATTGTTCAATATCGAATACACGCGCACTCGTAACTTATTCGAGAATACTTAACACTTAAAACGGATCACGGACGCTGATGAACGACGAACGACGGACCGGAGACTGACTGACTGGCTGGTGCGATCTCGTCGGCCAGCGGTAGACACAGTGCCGCGTCGTGCGCCTGGAGCGTAGGGGCGGAGCGGGTCTTGTGCGCTCCAATCGGGTAGAAAAAGGTCGGCAGACCAGTGCTAGAGGAAATAAGAGACGAAATTGCCTAACATACTTGTTACCTCGTATACCTTGTCTATGAAATTTTTTTTCACTTTACAGGAAAAAATATATGTAAATTTGATTAAATTGAAAGAAAATGCAAGACAAATCAATAATTTATAAATTATTATAAAAAAATCTTTAGTAATATAGTTATAGTAATTATCAGAATAACCACCTACCTACGATAACTGTTGTTATAACCGTAGCAAAAGTCTAGGGTGGTAAATTTTTTTAAGGAGACCAAATTTAATTTTTCTCCCTCCAAAAAGAGTTAAACAATGCATATAATTTTGCTACATTTTTGGATGGGTTAAGCCCCCTTAGTTTCCATCTTACGTCTTTGAACGCTAGTATCGATCTGACCCAGAAGGCTAAGGTGCAATTGTGCTCAGGCTCTAGATTAAATAGGAGACACTTTTATTTATTTGTAAGACCCTTGGAAAGGAAATCGTCTCCGCATTATATAACGGCCGTATAATACTTCCAGATGAACTTCACCGACAAATATATTATTTTAAAAACCCGTACGATAACTGCTAAATGCATTACCATAACAATTACAGGTAATTTTCAAGAGTTAAACTATGTTTGAGTATTGAAGAACGTACGAGAATCTTGGAAGCTGATAAATCTAAAATGTAAAGAAAACACTGTTGTATAAAGGTGTCAAATAAACTGAACGAGTGACTTATTTTTTTTTTTTTTTTTAA